CCCCAAAAAATTTAAAGTCTTTTTTAAAACCGCCAAAATTAATTTTTACTTTTTGGTTTTTTCAGTTTAATTTTAAAAAAGTTTAACAAAGGGGAAATTTTTTTTTAAAAGTTGTTCAATTTTTTCCAAAATTTTTTATTGGGAAAATTTTTAAATTTTAACAATAACATTTTCAAATCTCTTATGAAATTCAATATAATTTTCATTTAAAAAGGGAAACTTTCAAAACATTTTTTTAATATCAAATTTAAAAAATGGGCAACAAAAACGATTAAAGCAGTTAGATGTTGGGGCAATCTTCGACATCAAAAACTTTTTTTAATTTTTCTTTATTGGCCTTTTTTGATCAATTAGCTAGGGGGACAAGGGGAACCGGGGTCCGTTCGCAATAAAAAAAAATTTATCAAAATTTTAGTGTGCAAATTTTTAAAATGGTCCCCTTAAAATTGATACCCAGCCCATCTTTTTTAGTTAAAATTTTTCCCTGAAAGGGCACAATGCTTTTTTTTGAATTGGGGGTTTTTTCTTTTCCCCTCAATCAGCCTGCCAAAAATCCTCTTCACTTTTTAATGAAAGTCCTGGCATTTCTAACGGTAAAAATATGTATTCACATTTTTCCCCTTCCCCTATTGTTTTGTTTATCAAATTTTATTGGGTCATTTAAAAGAGAAATTTAAAAAATTTTTTTCCTTTTTTAAATTAAAAGAAAGGAAAAGCATTAAAAAAATGAAAATTTTTGGGAAAGGGTTTTTTTGTCAAAACCCTCGCTTGAACCATAAAAAAACTATTTTTGTTCCAATTTTTACTAAAAAAAATAAAAAATAGCCCCCAAAGTTTTTCAGCAACGCTAGAATGATTCCTGTCTCTATGAAACGCAATTTTTATCTTAGATGTCAAGTTATTGAAGCGTTAGTAAAGCTAAGTTAAGTGAAACAAATATTGTCTGTCTTTTCATATAAGATAAGAAATTGGGACGACATCTATGAGTATGAACGGAAATTATTCTGCAAATTGACACAAAAATTGCTAAGTTGGCAGAGTGTCTAACATTGAGAAAGAAAATATTTGTTTTGGAGAAATGTGGTAAATCATTTGAAAACATATATTTATTTGCTGAAACATTGCTGACGACGTATATCTTTTAAATATACGTTAAGTTTGTAAAATATATCTGACCTTTTATTTTGATAAGACCTCGACCCCGTGGTTCACGACTGAAATAAGCCATCCTGTAATAGAGTCCATTACCAAACAGAACGCGTTTTTCTTTTTAATTTATGACGCTGTGCTACCAAATTCTACCTATTGACATCACAATATCTTAGTTATAGTTTAAATATAGTTAAACAATAAATTTAAATGTTACATGTTGTCTTTTCGTTCTATATAAGCGATTATACATTACAAACGTCTATAAAAAGTCCTGGCAAAAAATCTATACTAGTAAGTCGACTCTAGTTATAAGGATATAGATCAGAATTTATATTATTCATACACCAAACTGTAAGTACCGACACATGCATTTCATCAAATTGGTTCTTGCTAGAACTATATTAATTTTTAAAGAATATGCCCCTGCGACTGTAATTACCAAAATGCAAACTGGCATTTTTTTATGAATGAAAAGAAGTAAGTGTTATAAATAAAAAGTGTGTAGCAAATGCAATTGTTTTGCAGTATTTTTCTGTTTATTACCCGGGATATAAACTAAACATAAGCATATCTTATAACATTGATCTATCAATTTATATGATAATACACCATTCCATTTGTTTGTTTTCATTAAGGTATTTATAGATTTTGAATGACTTAACATTATGAAGCATACATCCATATCACTAGAGTAAAATATATTTTGACCATTTTAAATGGTTTAGTCATCTTTATTTGTGTGGCAGACTAGTATCCTTGATAAAATATGGATATAGATGTTTTAGTATCCGTCTACTAATTTACAGATGGATGAATATTTTGACGATTCATTACCTAAAAATATAATTTGTATGATTTTTTGAAGATTATTTATGGCAGTTTTTCAATTTCTATTTTTATTTTTTTATTTTTGTCTGCATTAGATATTCCTCGACAAATGCTATGGTCTTTAGCATTCACGCAGAAAAATATCAAGTCCTTTTGAGATACTTTAAAGACAACCAAAATAGCTTCATCCTCATACTTCCGTTGTGGTATGAAAAGACTAGAAAACATAAGAAGAAAAAACATTTCCAAGAAATACTCCCTTCTGAAAAAAAAAGATTTCTGGTATAAGAAAGCAAAATGATTTAAAAAGATAAAAAGAACAGATTTCGTGAAACAAATAAAGTAAGTAAACATTGTATATACATGGCCTCTTTCATTTTTTTTAATTTTTTGCCAAATAAATTTTATCTTCACACTCTCCCAAAGAAGAGATCCATGTAAACCTTCAGATATAAAATAATTTTCTCATTAACCTGTGAAGTCGAAGTAAAGTACTTAAGTTTTAGCTATGATTTTTCTTAGGGCAGTTACATATAGGTATGTTTTAAAATGGTACTGTCAAGCCAGTTTCTATCACGATTTCTTCGGAATTTATTTTATGCTGCGATGTCATAACTTTAATATACATGCTTATCATATTGTAAACTGTTCAAGATTTCCTTTAATGAATATACATATACAGTAATGTATATGTTCTATACAAGTTTATATGTCTAGCAAATATAAAATAGCACTTTTATTACTTGTGATATTGAAAGGTAATTGAACAATAACCCAACCTATCATTACCTGTTCATTTTGTTGCCTATATTAATGCCAGTTCGTAACAGTTTTAAAAGTTAATCAGGGAAACGAAATTGTAGCTTAGTTCGTGAATACACGACTAATGTTTTGCAGCAAAACGTTGCTAGAAACAAAACTTTGTTTTCAAGTTGCACATTTATATCTATCAATACCATTGCATTAAAACAAAATCATTATATTTGTATTGCTATTTTATTTTATTGTCTCAATTACCAATATATACTGCATTCTTATAAAAAAATTCTCACATTAGGAATTGCTATTGTATGATAAGTTTAAACTGAGACAGTTTTGTTCATTTGATTCAAAAATATCATTTATTTAAAAAAAATCTTATTGAGATTGTAATCTTCTTGTTTAATTATTCTTCACAATGCACTCTAGAAATATGTTTATTAATAATATTGTACTCTTGATCCATAATTGCAATTAAGCTTTTAAACCGTTTCGCGCTTCAACGAAAAGCCAAATATCCTCCACATTTATAAATAAAAAGGTGCCATTGATATTAATTAAGCGTAAAGTAGACAATTATTTGATTTCCAGATCATCAGATAAATAAAGTAAATCCTATTTTTAGTTTGACTAATCCGTAAGCACTTTACCATATTTCAATAAATAAGTTATATATGGGAAACAAAATGAGATCAAAATTAATATGATAGACATGACCTTGATAAATAGAAACATTTAACATTTACACACTTTTCATGAATCGATTCAATTTTGTTCTTCTAAAACAATATGATTACTTTTCCAAACAAAGGTAGCAAGCTAGAAAAAAGCCATTATCTTTTGATTTTGAAAACGTTTAACTTTCAGAACACATATAAAATATCGATTAAATTATGTTGGACCTTCACAAAAAAACTAAATAATATGACGTCAGCCAATGTATTTTGTAACGTTTGACGTCATAATGGTATCATGCATAGTAGAAATTACATTTTGTATTCTTATTTACATCAGAAATGGCGGCGCACTTTGCGTGTTTTAATCTAAAATAAATTTGCATCATTTTCCTCGTTTAACAAAGGCGCTTTCCTACACCAATCCATATTAAAGCTACACATTTCATTTATTTAATCTTGCTCGTCATAAATAATATTATCACAAATAATCTTGTTAGAAATACTATTATTTTCTACGTTTGTATACATCATCTGTTAACATTACAGACTAATGTGTGACCAACGCTGTATATCACACTAGCGTGTGCCTATGCTTTTATCTTAGATGTTCTTTTAACACAGCCTCGTGTTAATGGAAGCCGTGCTAAAGATTAGGTATAAATGTTACTAAGAAAATGCTCACTGAATGATTTAAAGTGCTTTCAAATAAATTTGATTCATAGTCTCGTTGTATGTCCAAAATAAATGGATAAACTCATAAGAGGAATACATTAAAATGGATGAATCAAGTAGTCAGTTTTGCTAATATTGACTCGGTAGTTTCTCTTAAATAATTATTTTGATATTGCGAGGACGTCCGTCACAAATAAAAAAAATCTCAATCAAAATACTACGTTCAGTCCATTTGATCTATTTAATCTCTATCTTTATACAAAGTATTTCGCCAATTATATCTATACTGCCTTTTTAAATTTACAGATTATACACTATGTGTGATCAAATTTAATGCCAATTAACAAAACAAGAACTTCATTGTGGTACACGCCTTTATACAGATTTGTTATATGTTATTCTTATCATAAAAAGAGTACTACCAAATAAATGAATGTTAACAAAAATATTGTGTAATGATTTAATATGTTATTGTTGAAATAGCATTATTTCGTTTTAACAACTTTGATATTTTGTTTTTAATAATTGTATCACCAGTCACACAGGGATAATTTCAAAGCATTGACTATTCCATTTTCTGAAGAAAGTGCTATCAGAAAACGAATATGAAAAATATTATATCTAAATTTAAACAAGTAATTGTTCGAAAAGCATTTTTTTTCTTCAAAAATTGTTGTTATGAAGACCAATAATAGTCACACACTGAAATTGAAAAGCATTGTCTAGTTCAGTTTCTGAACATATTCAAGATATAGTGTAATTATGTAGACCATTTTTGTCAACGCTTCAATTGGAAAAAATTCTTTTGTAGAAATCTATGTACTGCAGTTGCTTGATTTTACCACTGTTATGATAGGTGACTAATCTAGAATAAACCACCAAAGGACTGATCAATTATTCGTGAACGCGCTCTACAAGCGGTATAAAAGTTTCACTTCCTTACATCGGATAATTCGTACGCCTAGCAGTAAATATTATTTATTAAGTCTGATATCGTAGAGCGGAATTTCATTTTACTTGATCTAGTTGGACTTAACTTGTGGCGCGGTACACTTTGATACAAAATCGGATATTATATGCAATATGGTATGTGATAGCTTTTATTTGTATTAAAACTTTAACCATTTAGTTTAAGGACATGACCAATTTCCTTGACCAGAAAACTATAAGAAACTAAACTAAAACTATATTGTAGTTATTTATATTAGTTAAACATATTTCAATACAGATTTCTTTGATGATTAGTTCCATTTAAATATGGCTTATCAATGAATGAAATAATGAAGTTCTTTCACAATATTTGAAAGATATGATTAATTTGAACATGAAGTGATCAATTTCAAAAGAAAACACCAATCAAACAGTTATCACCATGTGCTTTGTATACAAATTAAATTGCACATTTTTTAAGTTTATTTTAAAATATGTGAGCTAGTGTTCAAAAGTAAAATATAATTTAATTTTCCATAGTACAAAACAGAAATATTTTCTATCTATTTCATGTTAATTAGAATTTAAGTCTTTTCACATTTTTCTTTAATTTGCCAAAAACAAATGATAATAATATTTTTCAATATTTAATTTTTAAGTACATGTATATGATAAATAAAAATACTCTTACATGACATATTAGTGAAAAACTGCCAGGCATGTACCATTAACTGAATTCACATGTTTAATTGTATATAAACACATTCTTGATAAATAATTTAATTAGTAAACACTTATACGTTAAGAATCAAATAGATATATGTACATTATGTTAGTGAAAATACTTAACTATTAATTATTTATTGTCATTTTAATTAAAAATGCATAAGAAATATCATTTAAGACGTTAGATGGAACCCGAAGGATACGTTGCATTTTGAAAATGGTCCTCAAATAATATGGTTGATCAAACTAACAATATTTTCGTATCACCCTTGTTGAAGCAGTTAGGCAACAAAATTTTTTGTTATTTCTACAGTTATTTTTTTTTATTGTAAGCAGTTGCTTTAAGATTTAGCGTGTTTTAACATTTGATCTCGCAATAAATATGATCTTGATTCGTTTATACGTTATTTTTAATACATTATATTATAATATAAGGGTGACATATTTATTTGCTAATTGTCAGCGAACAGTAAAAATCTATAGAACGTTTTGACGTACAAACACTATAGTCGCAACACAGATTCATGGACATGGGTCTTGATTATAAGCGTGACTGTGATACAGAGTTTAAAAAACTTGTTTAATTACTGGAATGTATTCATTGCAAATGCTTATCAATGTAAAAGAAAACCAGTATTTACGTTTCTTAGTTTAAGCCGAGTGTACGATTCTCAGTTTTCACGCTGCTTATTGACCATCCTTTTCTGTAACTTGTTCAATGATAACCGCCGTATGAACACATCTGCGGATGGTTCTAAATTCAAAATTTTACCATTTTATGTTGATAATGTTGAATTTTGCTGGTGCTAGGGGGCGGGGGTTGTAGTTTGCACTTGACAGTATCGTCCATGAACACGCTCAATCAAACCAAGCCTGCAACATTTTCAATTTTGGCGTTTTGGACTTTCTTTAAGGATTCTTATTGTTCTTTATTTGATATATCGGATTTAAATACGTTTCTATATTCTATACTTCAAATTGACAAGTTTAGTAGCATCACTTTGTAATTTGATAAAAAAACAAAGCATCTATCCAAATCAACAATGATCAGTCGTCAATTGAACACTAGGTATATATTCTGCCAAACAGAAATATAACTGCCTAACTCTTGTAGCCGGTCTGTCTGTCGTATATATTATTTATCTAAAGTAAAGAAGACTTCAAAAATTCATCAATGCGTATGGTGAAATGTAACGAAGGCATGTATTCCATTTGTTATATTAGATGAAATTTATGTAATGTTTCATGTTTGAATTAATGGATAAAGAAGAATCACATTTTGCCATTACTTTTATTAATCAGCAGTCCTTTTGAAATATATAAAGACGTCAAAACATTTAATTGTGTTGTGTGTGGTTTTAGATTAAACTTGAGCTTTAAAGTCATAATTTGATTAAGCTGAAAACAGTTGTATAATACGATTTAGACAACAAAAATTGAAATATTAAACATGTTGTCTTTCTATCTTGTGAACAGAATAATGCGACCAATATTTTAAAGCTGGTTTTCTGCAGATATTTATGGACATTAGGTTGCAGTACTTTTGAAAAGTATATGTTTTGTATTTAACTTTTTTAAATAACTCAGATGATTGACAGCAAAAAAACATGTTAACTTGTAAAATATCAATATTAATGAGGCCCACAACCCTACCATTTTAAAAAGGTAACTTGCAATTGCTTATGTCACACATGTCAACGTATTTTATTTGTTGATTTTTGTTTAAAAGAATCATGCTCCATTTTGTCTTTGTTTGTAAGGCTTTATATTTTGTACATTTTATTTCAAAAATAGTTGTTTCTGCAAATGTTTACATAAACCATACATTAGATTCTAATCTGATAGAAACTAATCATGTGTGTACAACTTTTAGAGTTTGTGTATAGCTTTTTGGTATGCAGATGCCGCAAACAAATCAGATCAATGCAAAATATTCTTTGGCCATAACGCTCATTTTTTTTTCTTTTGCACTTTGGCACTATCAATCACATGTTTAAAAGACAATTATTTCTGAGGTACAAAATGCCTTCATAATGACTTTGTTTCTTAAAAAGCAATTATTGTTTACTTTATCGATTAATCATGCCAATTTATTTCTACAAGAAATTTGTATTGTATACAGCTCAAACTCGTAAATATTTTATTCTTATTCAACTTGTTATTCAAAACATGCGTTAACCTTATCGTACACTGACATATTTATTAGAGAGAGGATCAACTGCAATAAAGTGTTTCGTGCATGTTATGTTTCTGATATTAAATAATTGATGAAATATAGAGCGCGACCTTTTTATATAAATATTAATGAGGCATGAAATTAAAATCATTTATGAAGTTTAATAATTTTCCTTAACTCATTAGTGATAAGAGTTTTTCATTTATCTGTTGTTTTTTGGTTCAAAGACCTTTAAAACAACAGAATTGTGTCATATACTTTAGGGTTTTCTTTTTGTTTTACGACACGACCCAATGCAATGTAGGCCACATGGCGCCGAAACAGGAACGATGATCTTCGCTAACCTCTGGTGTAACTAACTAAATACAAAACCAGGGTTCAAAACCACCTCACAAGCAGGAACTACGGAACACATATTCTCCGGTAATTTGAACCCATTTAGTCGCCTCTTGCGGTCACGCAGGTTTAAACGGTGGCCGCAATTCTGATGTCTTAACCTTTAAGGGCAACGCCTCATTCACAAAGGGCGTGTCGTATACACGCAACAAAAAGAGCATAAGATGAATATTTAACGATGTTGTATACGAGTCTCTCCTTGTTTTGCATTATCAAACTCCAAGAGAGAGTTAGTCTAATTGAGCATGCATTTTTTATTTCTTTTTTTTTTTTAGAGATTTTTAATCAAATTTAAGTATTTTATCAAACTGGAGCGAGAGCTTAGTTTATATTCAAATTCGTGTGACAACTCACATGTCAAATACATTTAGAAAGATCATTATTGAAATGATTTGAATGAAAGTTCAAATGATGCAAGAAGAACAAAGACTAAAAATCATAGACAACCGAAGAGAATAATAAAAATGAACAACTTGACTATTGCATTCAATTTCTGTCATAAAAATATATCTATTTTAAATCGATATAATTTAACAAATCATAATTATATTTATTTGAAAAATTGTTTTAATATAAAACATTTATTTAATTCATGTTGTCCTTTATTTATTTCTATCATGAATAGTATACATATACTACGCCATGTTGTACTCGACAACGGCGTTATTTATGACATTTCAAAATATCTTACTGCGAAAGTAAACAATACTCGCAATGACACTTACATCATCAGCACTTGGATGATTTCTGTCCCGCAAAAGTCTCGTCAAAGATATCAAATCATTGAAGCAACAATAAGCTTAGTAAAGCGGAACAAATATTGTCTGTGTTTTCCTATATAACGAGAATATGAGACGTTTGAAACACTGTTTGTAAATCGACCATTACAACCTTAAGTTTTTACGGTCCTGCATTATAAATGAACATTTGTCAAGAGAGAGAAAACATTTTAAAAATTCATTTAAATATAAAAATACAAACACGTTTTTGAATAAATAATTAACGAGGATGAGTTGTTGTAGCCTATTTGTCCTGTAAAGTAGAGCCATGGCCAAGTGTTAATTTATACTTAAATATCTTCAAACTTTTAACTGTAAATGTGCGTCATAGATATCACATTTACTTATAGTTAAACAAGAAATGTGTCCATAAGACACGGATGTCCCAACATTTTACATTTGTAAGTCTACAGACTGACAGCTTTGCAGCAGGGCGGCGTAACAACGGTGAGGACTGTCAATGGCAAACCTATATGACCCTAAGTAGTTTGGACATAAAAACCAATGTATCATAGTTGTCTATATTTTCTTACAAAACGGGGGAAAAGTAAGAAACATCAATATGACAATGTTCTATGGCACGATTCCGTATATCGACCATGGTAATTGATACATAGATCAAGCGGTATGACATTAAGAATGAATACTTCATACCTAGAGCTGTTGAAATGGACATGTTTCTTTCTTACTGTATGTAGTTCTTTCTAAAACCATATGAATTATGAAGTACTACAGCCTAGACTGCTTTGAACTGAAAAGGAATATTACCATTTTTTTACTTATATATTTTTCTCATGTCTCGTTTTGCTTAATTTACTTACTGTATTGAATTGAAACATGAATACCTGCATCCCCGTTTGCATGCTTTAGCGATATATTAAAATTCGACAAACCGGACATAGTTATCAAGGATCTTGATAGCACTGCAATCTGTATAAGAACAGATTCTCATGATTCTGTACCGAAAACGTTATTTTTTAATTTGTATATTATTTTATCTTTTCTTTTATAAAAACTATAGTAGAAGATCAACAGCTTTATAAATTGTATCGGAAAGCAACAACACAACTCCTAATTGT